TGGATCCCTCTGAGGTTCTTTCTGATTCTCCAGGAGTCTCACAGATCGATCACAGTAACACAGGAATAACACAGGGGTGTGTCATGTTCAAAGCTGTCACTGTGGCCACTGAATTGGTGCCCACTAGACTTTAGACCTGCTTGTGGAGTACTAGAGGGTCTGATGTCCTCAGTCCATGCCGAGTCCAAGCTCCATCTTCCTGCAAGTAACAGGCCAGGGTTTAAGAAAGTGTAGTCACACTAAGGACTGAGTAGAAGCACAGCTGGAGTTGAAGGTTTCATAGCACAACGTGAGATTTGTGTAAGAAAGTCAGTCATGATAGAAGACAGCTGCGCTTTTCCCTTTGCCACATAGCAAGTGGGCATCTGAGGCAGTACCCAGCCCAAGGAACAGTGACAAGCTTTGCTGTTGTAACTGCTTTTCTCTCCTGGCAGTACCAGGATCCCAGCTCTGCCAGGGCTGCTCTGAGGTCTCCAGTGTTCTTCTGCATACAAAATTTAGCAATAAGACTTGTATAGCCCTGGTATGGCTCAACTTATAGGAGCTTTGTTGCAGCTTTGAGAGGCTGGATGACTAGTCATGCCTACTCTCATCTGCCACCCCCACAGGACTTATCAGCAGATACACCCATCTCCTCCAGCTCTTTGAAGCCATGCAGGGGAATATGGCCCAGAGCTTTCTCAAGACCAAAAGAGGGAGGCACTACTGAGCTTGAAAACCCCTGGAAGGATTCCCGAAGGAGGGTCTGAGCTTGGCAGCTGCAGCTCTGCTGCTTGGTAGTGTCTTGGTAGGCAGGCTGTAGAGTGCCCTGCTGGCACACTACCAATTGCCTTGACTGGCCCTGAGTGGTTCCTCACACCTGTATTCACTCACTGTGGTGAAACAGGGAGAGAATGCAATTCCCTGGTACTCTGGAGCACCCACAGGGCAGCCACAGATTTCTTTCCCTGGGGCCAGTCACCTTTTGACTGATGCAGAATAAGTCCCACGTTCTCTCCCACTGCTGGGGATAACCCAAGGGGTACAAAGAAGGACTTTCCAGGCATTGAGAGTACGGTGAGTTCCAGAAGCTAATGATTACCAGAGATCCCACTCATTTTTATAATCAAGGCTGCTTCCTGTAATAGCATCTCACATTTGGTGTTGTGGATGTCCACTGATAGGTAGTTTAGGTGGATAAAAGCATCACTTATCAAAGCCAGGGCATGTAATGAAAAGCTAGCTGAGGAAAGCAATAATGAAGAAATGGGTTTAAGCTCACATAGCCTCTCCCCTAGCCTATGCTAAAATCCAGTCTTCCTTGCACAGTACAGAGGTGCTATCAACCTCCCTTCTCCATCTTCTTTTAACACACAGTGCAGTCATTACTTCATGCACTTACATGTGGGCATCCAAGTCTTGCTGCCATCCTTTGCCAAACTCCAAGTTAAAACTTAAGCCACCAAGTTCTCAAATGTTCTCAAAATGGCCTTTTTGTTGTTGTGGGACTTGCTCTCAGTCTCCCTGACAAAACTGCTTCACCTGGCATACGTATTTATACATTAGGCCATCAACTGAGAACATGAGGCCACAAAGTGAGAACTACAGCTCAGTGGTTGTAGCTGTTGTATGATGCCAGAAGAGACTGTGGTTGTGATCACAATGTACATTCTAACTACTGAACAACCTGGCAAAACTGGATTATAAAAGGTTGGGAGTGCTCAGCTCTTACAAATAATATGACAGAGTAGGTGGCAGCAGAATGAGTTGGTTTCTTCATGTCAGTTGGGTACAAAGTAGATGCCAAGAAGCTCAGCATCATTAGGATGTGGGTGTTTCTACCCATTCCCAACAGCAAAAGTCAGGCTGTACATATTCTCTCAGGAACTCGCACTATCAGCTGAATATCCAAATCTCCACTGACATGTTGGATGGCCACAGATGTTACAGCGGTAGACATATATCACAGATAAGCAGGACATAAAATCTGAAACTGCCAATTGCCCACCAAACCCTTAGTTACCATCCGTCCCATGCAACTGGAGGAACTTTGGTGAGGCACAAAAGCTTAGGAGACCAGTTGAACTGCGCTCTCATTACTAAAAGCACTGAACTTCTACATGGGCTGCCTGCATCTCCTTCTCCACCATGACTCTGCATATCCATACATAGTACTGCAGACAAATGTGGCCCATACTCATAAAAAACCCTAAACGACCAAAGTCTTTCCTGGCTCACAGACTTTCTCCAGTGAATCACGACAGTGATTAACTATGGCTTTCCTCTGCACTCCTCCAATGTGGAGGATTTATAAAGATCATGCCATGCTGTCATCAGCAGTCATTAGCCTCAACTTGCTGAACAGTCATTTTCATCAGGGATGTGCCAAACTACTTCACGAAACTGTGCACCACAAGGTGTATTAATCAAAAGGCTACCATTCCTCTGTTGTCTTTGCCTATCACATGCTTGTAACCTAGTACAGAGAAACCTGACTATAACGGGAAACCAGAACTGCAAATGACTAAAGACAGATAAATTAATATTTAATTCAAACCAGCAAGATGTTGTTTGCAGTTATTTATTTTACTAAAATGGATACATATGTTGAAACAAAGAGGAGCAATAGTAATAGTGTTTGTTTTTCCAATATCATAAATAATTATTGAGTCTTCATTAGCTGTTGGCTCAGCACTGATCATGATTTTTGTTATTTAAAAAAAGACATGCACATAATTCATCAGAATTTGTGCTTTCAGAAAACTCTAAAGCAGCAGTAGAAAAAAATAAATTAAAGGAAATGGTAACAAGAAATTATGCCAAGTATTTCTTAAATTTAAAACTCACTCGATGGTATTGCAGATTATTCTTTGTGCTTTGATAATTTAAAAAAAAGAACCATGAACAAGTTGATTATACAATGGCTTGTCTTCTCCAGTTTTACTCCAGAGAAGTCCCCAAAGTACATTTTTAACATGACAAATTTTGTTGTCATTTATACGGACAAAACCACTGTGAATATTTCTAACAGAAAATTTGTCAAAACCATCAATTTATTGTCACAAAATATTTAATACCAGAATAACTTACAATAGTATGAACTAAAGTGAAGTATTAACTCTCTGATATTAGTTATAAACTCACATTATTATGTCAAAATCCAGTAAAGTATCAAAAATTAATGTAATGGAATCTTAGACACATAATGATGCAAGTCAGTAAAACATATACTTCAACTGTTCATACAGTCATGACATACATTTCTTGCTTGGCACTTTAAGTCAATGCAAATCAGCAATTTAGAAAACAAAGTAAAAATATATATGTACAAAATATTTTCATATCAAATCATTTTCATTGTACACTAAGTAAACCCAACAACATGTTATGTTACATCAAGAAGTTTCCTAAGAAGTCACACCAAGGCAGATATTTGCAATATAGCTTGAGTATTTTAGTGCAACTGGAACAGCCTCTACTTGCAAGTTAGTTTCATCATTAGCACAGTCCTGCTCCCATTGAGGTGGGAGTTCTGCCACGAAACTCAGTGGGAGCAGGACTAAAGGTTTGTCTTGTTCATTGATGGCTCACCAAAAAGAGAAATGGGGAAAGGGGTAAGTAGGAAAAAAACTGGCAGGATACCCACAGGAAAAAAAATCAAAATCCTATCAACAATCAGCTCTTTTCCAGTTTTCTGTGACTGATTCAATATAAATCAATTTTGGCTTTGCCACTGTTTATGCAAGCACTGTAAATCTCATTAGACTATTGTAATATGACTTCAAAATAACTTGTGCACCTCCCAATAGAACTTAAAAATAAACCTGGTTTTATGCTCAGTAGCAGTCAAGTTTAGAGATACAGCATTTAATACATGCTTTAGTATCTACTTAAACCCCTCCCACCTTAAATGCTGAGATTTTTCAGTGTTTAATTTCCCATTTATGTTTCTAGTTTGGGCTTTGATAGTTTATATTATAGCTTTTTCTCATTGAGATGTGAACTGTCAATCAATTGTCCTCATTTATGCAATACGTACAAAATAAAAATGTTTCAACCACATTAAAGTAGTAACTTCCACCATGGAAACTTTTTAAAGCTCCACTGAAAGTAGTAAATGGCACTACAGATTTTAGTTTTGTACAAGAAGAAATCAGTTTTGCTTATTTCTTTGCTTATTTCTATCAAAACTTCAGTACGTCACTAGCAAAGCTTTAAAATTACAGAAATTCAACTTGAATTTACAGTTAGTCTGGCTAGGATCTTCTCAACTAGAAATCTTTAATGAACAACACAGCTGGGAGCATATATATAAGTTCAAAATAATCTGAACAATTAACTTATTTCCTAAATTTCTGTGTTATAGAGTATTGCACTTTTCAAAGGAATGATTTTGGTATTTTAATATACTGCATATACAGGTAATAAACATGCATAACAACCTCATTGTCACTCTGACAAAACATACTGTACAATTTTTATAACACTGTTGATTAAAAAAAGAGAGAGAAAATGATGTAACAATTTCATTAAGACTTGTCAATTTGTACAAGTCGAATAAGCACAACTCTCCAGGGCCTCCAGCAGTAATGTGTTTAGCCCTAGGCTGCTTAAGCCCACTTGGAATAATATACAAAGTTTAAGCATTATGGCATCGTCATTTTGAGGCATAATACTGTTGTACTATGCCCACGTTATAGCTTATTTTTTGAAAGCAAGGCACTTACTGTAATAGCAATGCAAACATCTTATGCGCACTTTGATTAACATAAAATAAGTTAATGTTTTGATAAAAACAGGGGTTTTTTATAAGTTACATGCCTTTTATAGAAGCATTTGAACATTTCATTTAATACAATGAAAATGTCTGAGTCAGAAGGAACATTGTTTTTTCAAACTGACCATACTGAAAAAGGGGGCCTATTTTCCGCATTTGCCTCATATCTGTGAATGTGATTTTGCTGAAAACCAATCCTGTGAGGAAAATGTCCATTTGACAGGAAAAAGAAAAAGGACCCATCTCAAAACTGCTGAACTAATGGCACTTTAACAGTCTTTACTTCTGATATATGCGATGATTTCTGAATGATGCAGCTAGTAGTTCCCTGCAGTTTATCCTTCCCTTGGGCAAGGTTCGTTAGGGCCATAGCCGCGTTGATCTCCTTCCAGTACGTTTCATCTTTGCTGGCTCCTTTTCTGTTAGCTGTGCTAGATTCAAGCAATAACAAATATTTACATGTACAGCTCACATAGCTATGTGATGTCAGGAAAACCCTAATGAAAATAATTTGGGAAAACTATGAAGTCCCTTACTCACCTTTCACACTTATTTGGTCCATTCTCCAGAGTTTCTGAAAACAGAAAAAAAAAAAGAAATCTATGTTCTTTTTACAATTTTTAAAACAAGCAAGTTCATGGAATAGGCAAATGGGAAAACAACCCAAGACTAAGTTCAAAATTGATACCCGATTTCCAAATAAAACCTTTGTTTGGACACATCTAAAGGCTCTGCATCACACAAGCATCTGCCTGGAGAAATCTACACTGAGCTCGGATCATGGCACATGTGAAAAAAAATGCTGTGGGGAGGTTCCTGAGACATGACCTTACAGAAAAGGCTTTGGTGATGCAGAACCTTGCTGAGTCTCAGCAGAACGGCACCAGCAGAACAGGTGCTGAACCCTGCCCAGTGAATCCCACACCAGCCCATGTCAGGGAAAAGGTTATCTTGGCAACAGTGAGAATGAAGCTGGTCTTGGAGGTTCACGTACATGCTACAGAGTGACAGAGGCATTTTTTCAAAACACAAATCCCAACGACATAAGTAATTACGAAACCTAAAAATAAAAATCTGCTTCATTGCCCTGCAGTGAATGCCTTCTTGTATGCACTAAAAATAGGACTTTCAGCCACGCATACATGATTTGTATGGTTTTTCTGTGCCCCTTGCCCAGGCTGCAACTCAGGCACAGAGGCAGGCTGAGAAGGGTACAAGGAACAAGCACACCTGGTTAACAGCCTTCAAAGATGAAACTGCATCACAGGCATAACCTACACGTTCTCATCAAGAGTCACATTTGTTCATTCATTAAGCCCTCACGTTGCAGAGAAGCCAGAAATATTTACCAGGCAGAAATGTATAAGCTTTACTCAGTGGGCTTGCTATCCTGACACAGAAACACATTATAGAGGAGCAAGAAGCTAATGCCTAACTGCAATACCTACCAGGCAAACAAAAGAGCAGTGGCATGAGCACTAATGGCTACAGGACCCAAAAAGACCCTAAACACAGCATAAATCTCATAAAGTAATGCACTACTTTATGAGGTTGGATTCCCAACTATAGACTAACCTTATTGCTAGATTTCCATCAGATTACTAATGAAAAGTTGGTGTTCTCTTTAAACAGAGCTTCCAGTGGCATAGGTCCCAAAGCACACTGCAGCCCTTGATAGCTCTTCCTTTACGAGCAACTTTGCCCACCACTGACCAGCGGCCCATTCTCTCAAACAGCCAACCCACATCGAACAACTCAGCCCAGCCGTGCTTCCTAGCACTTGGAAGTGACCACTAAAGAGCACAGTCTCACCAAAGAAATGCAGGGAGACCAGCTGTAATTTCAGAGGTCAGATGCTTGCCAAGCTGTTTGATTTATCGTGCCTCCATCCTTCCGCAAAACAGCTTTATAAATAAAAGTCCACAAGTGATTGAGGTTTACATTTTGTTCTAAAACAGGGCATCTTAAATCAGCGTCTCTTACGCTCTCCTAGATCAATGCTTGAAAGGGATTAAAGACGGGAAAGTTGAACCTATACAGAGGAGAGGGAAACAAGGAAAAAAGAAGCCATTTGATCCAGAGACAGGTACTGAATGACACCAAAAGTCTCCTTTTTCATACTGTACTTGGCTGCAAATAGTTTCTCAGCCCTGCTTAATTAATTTATTTTTTAATAGAGACAGTTTTAAAGAGGAGGTTTAGGACTGAATAGGTCAGTAGGTATAGAAATGGAAATGGCAAGTAATAGAGAATGTCGCTGCCAGAGCAAACCTGGATATAAATACACCTCCCTCAAGCATCTGTCAGTTTCTTTTGGTGTTGGAAAATATTTCCTATGAACAAAAAAATTGCTTGTACAAACTTCTGAGGAAAGTAGGTGTGAATGGTGACACACATTCCATTTCCAGCGTTTATTTGAGAGTATTTGCAAATATTTTTTACTGGTATTTAGCCAGCTCTAAAAGAAAGTGGCTTGCCCATGATACATAAAAGCAGTAGCAAAGCTAAAAAATATAATCCAGAAGCAAAGAGCTGCCCATTCTTTAACTCTGCTGAAGTTTTTTCCTGAATTACAAGTCTTTTTTAATGCCATTCAGATTTTATGTTTTTTCAAACAAATAATTTAGGTCAAAGAAACTTGAAACTAGGTTACCATAAAACCATGATTGATAATTTGCAAAGCTCTCACTAGTAACTGCCATAAAAACATGTTAGTACAATGAAATCTGAAAATCCGTAATTTCAAAGCACAGGCCCTGTTTTTCTTGCCAAAAATCCTTTTCTGCTATACCAAACCTGTGACAGCATATCTCGCTGTGCACTACCACAGCATCCAAGCAGATTATATCTGTCTGAACAGCTCTTAGTGAAGGAAATAAGTATTACTACCATTTTTTGGATAAGGATAACCACACTGAGAGAGACAAATACCATTTGCCATGATCTCCTTGGCATCTTGCCGGTCAAACCAATTTGATCCAACTTAAAAGGAAGAGCAGAGTTTACCTTACTTGCCATGAATCTGCCATCTAAGTTATGCATCTTTATCAAGGCTACTTGTCCAGACTCCATTCACAAGTAACAGAGATGTCCTCCAAAAAGTGGTTTCAGACCACTTATCTCAACACTGGCAGTCCAACATCCCTGAGTGCTGCTGCAAAACCAGATCACAAAGCCCTCTTCCATGGCCATCTCCTCCCACTGTTTCCCTTTGGGCAATATTATCATCCACGTGGATATGCTGTGAGCTGGATGAGGGAGGACCATATCTCTCCTTTGGAGATTAAATTGGTGGCGTAAGTACAGCCTTAACTGCCTAGCTCAGCCTGGAAGAATTGCAGTCTATTTAGTGACGAGAGAGGGAATGTAGACAACAAAAATTTTATCAAGTTAAAAAAAAATAAAAAGCTGAATCTTGCTTGACATTTTGCTTTTTCTTCATCTTTTGCAATCCACTTGCTCTACTCCTGACTACTAATTAAAGCTTTCAATAATTAAATATTTTGATATTTGACATATCTGCACATTTTCAAAGCATATTTCATCTGCAAAAGCAACTTGGAAAGTATTTGGTTTCTTGACCACTGCACAACTTGTTCCTCGATTTCTTCTCTGAGGCAATGAGGAAACGGCACTGGGACTGGGTAACAGCTATGGAAATGGTGATGGAAGGAACGGAAAAATGAGGCAGCATCCTGAATCACACTGAGTAGCCTCAACTAAGGACTCACCCCAGAGCAAGTGCTGATGAGCAGACCTCACACTTCTCTCATGAGTCTTCTCTCATTACATGAGAGGTAGCACTTTATACAGTGTACCAAGGATGCACCATAGCTGCCCTCTCCAAGCACTGTGGTTAACTTTAAATCTAACATGCCTTAGGTGGCAGTCACCTCCAGTCTCTCCTGAAAAAGTGTAGTCCTCTCACCAGCTGGATGAAGGCAGGCTGTGAAACCAATTTCAATCCCTACAGACTTGCCAAGCTTAGATCAAGACAAGTGACTCCAGAGGAAGCCAATGCTGATGAATTATTATATTCCACACTGTTCCCAAGACTTGAGAGGGTGTACACAGAAGTTTATCAACACCATATCACTGGCCAGCACAAATAACTTTCCTAAACAAACCACAGTTGTGCTCAACACCATATTTATTAATTGAAACCTGAAAACAAGCTGCTGCTGAAGGTGTTTTTTTCTGTCTCAGAAAGCCATGTGCTGCTTGTGAAAGGATGTTGGTAGGCTTTCAGCATATACTGAGATCCTATAGCATTGTCTATTTAATATTAAACATCAGAAACATCTTTTTGTTACAAGTTTGGAAATCACTTAAAATGATGGTCATTTGCTCTACAACTGCAAAGTTTTAAGCACCACAAAAATGGAAACTCTATCATTTATAATTAGGGATTGTCATTTATACCTCACTTTCTGGTGCTTCATTGTGCTCCCAGTTGCAAGCATCCAGAGGATCAGCTTTTGCCTGGGCAGGAATGTCTCATTCTGCTTTCACCATTTGTCCAAAGAAACCAGCAGGGCGGGATATTTGTTCCTTCTTGTTTATAATAGGAAGTCACTATAAATCACTTACCAATGGAATCCTGTATACCTTTCCATTAGTGTGAGTTTTCAGTATACAGTTTACTGTAGCATGCAGTGCCAAGACTGCAGTCTCTGGACAATACCAGCTTTGTGATACAGTATGGCATTTTTCAGGACTCACATAATTATTAATAATATATGTAGCATATATTATTTTTTTCACCAAGAAATTTCTTCATAAATATTCACTGGCTGGTCCTGACAGCTCTCTTGCAAGGTAGCCTGCAGTCCAGTTTTAGCAGAAATGGAAATGAGTCTCAGAAGTCCAAAGACAACATGCCTAGCAATACTTTGACCATTTCAAAAGCATTTAAGAGCAGAATTTTCCAGGATTTCTCCTACATTTAAAATGCTTTCTTTTGTTCTTGTGCTATCAGAGAGACCCATTCAAAGGAAATAAACCTCGGGGTTCTTGTAAGCAAACCGTCCTTAAACTGGACAACAGCATCACTTACCTTCAGTACACTGTCATTACACCTCACTGTTGCCAAAATAATATACAAATAATTCACAAGAAAATATACATCTAAGTACATACACAGTGCCCTTTTACATACTGCATCCAGTATTAGAGAAGAAAGCCAGAGCATAAATGCCGTAGCACACGTCTACTTCAATTTGCAACACACAAAGGCTCTCTTGGCTACGTGGTGCTTGTGGCACATTCAGATATTTCAGAACAATTCAGACCCCTGCCGTTTGCAGATTCCAGACTCATAAGTTCCATATACTTGGATTACTTCAGGACTGTGCTAAATAATGTTAATTGCAGTTATATTTTGGATATATATTCTTTGGGTCTAAGAATTCTGACCTAAGAATATCACACGTGTGTGGTGATGAGCTGACTTCACCTAAAGGCCCTGCTGGGAACAGCAAAGGAAAGACCGACCACTTACGTAGGGCCAAGAAGCATCCACGTTGCTCCCCCGCTCCGTGTTATACACAGCTCAAGCCAAGCTGCAACAACTGG